AACAGAATTTACTGTATGGTATTTCAATGAAGTAAAAATAAAATAAATATATCTTGTGTAATTTGTTGATTTAATTTTGATATAACTAAAAACAAATAGAATGAATAATAACCGTCCTACTTGTATAATTCAGCTTTAGTTTTAAGTTACCTATTAATTTATTAGTTGTCTCCAAGACATTTAAAATTAATAATAATATAAAAATAAGATTACGTCAGTTCAGTTCTGTAAACATTTTAACAAAAATACTAAACAAAACTAATTTTATAACTAAATATTTAACTAGTTAATAAAATGATAACAATTGAAAACTTTCAATAAATACTGAAAGCCTACTTAATTGGATATAATCCATCGAACGCCCGGGCCGTAAAATAATTCATCTATCATCACGAGGAATTCGGAATCTAATCCGATATAACGTTCATAATTTTTCACAGGCAGTTCTAGCAGAAGTATCACTTTTTTTCCTTTTACCTTTGCTAGTAGATCTATTGTGAGTTTGTAGTAGGCAGCAATGAGAGAAAAAATATAGTCTATACGGAGAATTCTGAATCAGATAAATTTTTCCTAATAATAATGTTTTTCTTCCTAATTCAAGTCTAAACTATCGTTTATAAATATTTCATTTTTATTCAAATTATTTCAATGTTTATTTTATTAACACATTAATTAAACTAAAGTTTTACAGTGCCAGACAAAATTAACTTTTCATTGAAAGTATTTTTCTTGACTAAATTTGCATATTACAACAATAAGTTTGAAAATGTTATAAATAATATTATATGTTTTTTGAAACAATGAGTTTTTAAGTCTTTCTGAATATGACTTTAATTTAGTATCATTCACAGAAAAAACTTAAACAAATTTATTTAAAAAAAAATAGAAAATTTAAAAATTTTTAAAGTGCAAATGACAATTTTATCTGGCACTGTATCTACATTAGTTTAATTAACGTGTTAAACATTAGGTTCGTAAGATTAAAAAGTACTATGATACGGAATGCTTAAACATGAACAATGCCTCGTTGACTTTAGCAATAAACCTGTAAAACATACTTTAATATCATCGGGTTTGTATTATAAAGTTTTTAATATATACAATATGATACTTTCGAAATTCTACTAATTGTTTGTAAATTTGTTCCTGCAACATTCAAATTTTGTTTTGTATCTTTGTATAGAAATCCGAGAAATCGAAAAATCATTTGATCAAGGAGTAAAATTAAGATCGTGAGTGTCAAAGCTTTATGAAAATTTATATAGCATTTAGAAAAAACTGAATCTGCATTAGTAGCCATTAGAATATAATTATAATTATAATTGATGATAATTAGTAATATAACACTTAATATGAGAATATTTACTAAAGGTCTATGGATAAATTATTAAATTTATCCATAGACCTTTAGTAAATATACCTTTAGTAATTCACCTTACGTATACTGAATTGTTTAAATATGATATAAAATGTTCAATTTTATTTATTTAGTTTTTAGGGATAGGAATGGCGCTGATAACAAGGCTCTAACTTTTATTATGCTGAACGCCATGGATTCACGTCTGTATGACACTAGCTTCTCTCTATTGATGTCAAATCCCATTCAGTTCGAGAACTTTTTCTGTTGATATCAAATGATTATATGAAGATAATTTTAAAAAGGATAAAAGCGAGTGGATCATTTCATTAGCCATGTTGTTTGCTACGGAACTGGAAGAAGCGTATTTCTTAATTAACTTAAATGATAAACTTGTTTTTATCATTTAATTTGTATTTACAATGAAAAACCAATTACATCATAAAATGTATATGAAATACAGTTAAACTTAATAAAATAAATATTTTCGTAGATTATTCAAAAATTCAAAGAAAGAAATATTCTAATATTGCTATTACATTTTACAATTTTTTCAATTCCTAAAAATTCACCTACGTGAGTACGATGTATAGGAAATATAATTAATTTTAAACCATACACAAAAAATAAATCTTATAAATTATTTAATATTATCCACTTAAGCATAAATTTATACGTAGTTATTGTGCAAAATAAATAAATAAAAGTAAACACATAAAATCGAGATATCACTAAAATTAATTCAATAATAAAATATCTATGTTAGTTAAATTTATTTCTATCCGAATTATAAAAATATTTTATGCGGTTTTTCATCGAAATTAAATAAGTATTAAAATATATATATTTATAGGATTATCATTTATCTATGTTCTAATTTTTTATAATAGAGAAATATGACTTTTTTAAATTCCCTACAGGCGATAAAATTTTTCTGCCCCTGGCCTAGATTAGAATCTATTCTTTATGGTAATGAAATAGCGTTTAGCGATGTTATAATTAAGATTTAGCAAGTAATATTCATTAACATAATAATTATAATTCATTTAATAAATTAACAGTTTTAATGCACGTTTCAAAACAAATTCATTTATAAATCAGGAATGTAATACTATATAATACTTTATTTTTAACATCAGTAAATAAAAGAACACGAAATAAATAGATAATTTTAATTTAAGTTTTATTTTGAAAATCTCTAAAACCAACAGACCTAATTATTAATATTCATAAATATTACAAAAGTTATCATAGTAAAATTCAATTACAACAAACAGTTACCACATATAAGAAAAATTATATTTATACGGCATTGGACTGAGTTGAGAAAAATATATTTACAGTTTTTTTCAATGAGTCTATATTGGATTTAAATTCCACGAGAATGTATGCATTTTTCTTCTTAAAAATACATTCAATATATTACAAATGAACTTTCTTCATATTAACATTACTTTTAAGTGATAGAATTATAAATATAATAGGTTTGCAAAATAAATCTCAAAGTAATTTTTAATTTTTTATAATTGTATTACATATAAACCGTAATTCTTCTTAATAAAAATACGTTTCTAATTGATTTATTGTTTGACATATACTGTATATTATCAGGTAAGCTTAAGTAGCAACAATAATAAAATGTTATTGTTTCATTTACAAGAAAAAAAACCATTAAAAATATAATTGCTTCTTTTACTTTTCTTATTTTATCAAAATTTAAAGTATAGTTATATTCAGTTAATTAAGCCACTAAAAGAACCGCTATAGACACAGTTTTAAGCGATTTCATATAAATTGTATATCCTAAGTTGATAGCGTCTTGTAATCCTGAGATTCATGACATCAAATATTTTTCACGCATACTAACATTAGTATATAATGTGATTTCTAGAGAAAAACGTTAGTAACAAGCGGGACGAATTTGAAATATTCAAGTTTTAACGATGATGCAAAAAATAAAATGAAATTTAGAATAAAATATACACATAGAGAGAAGCATATTTTGGTTTAAAAAAAGTTTAAATCCTGAAAACATTTCTTAATAATTTTGATTTAATATAAGAAATTTTTAATAACTTTTTCTAGACTTATTGTAGTCAAATAAACCTGACATAATTTAATGATTTAAGATTAAGATAACCGAGCTTTAAGGAAAATTATACAAAAAGTTAATTATGCAGGAAAGTCTAATATAATAAAAAAAGAAGCAAATTAAATAGAAATAAATATAATAAATAGCCTTTTAAAAAATGTCAGTTTTTCATAATTTTTATATATTGTTTTATAAGAAAAAAATAATATCGTACTTGTTATAGGACATCAATTTATTTACTTATAACATATGTATGACTTATGAAATTTTATAAATCTAACTATGAATTATGAGATCACTGTTTCTTATGTACTGTATGTACTGTACATACCGGTACGCTCTCTATATGTATAGCTGCACTTTTTAAAGGAAAATGGCTTAGAATTTACTTTCCAGGCTTTGTTATATGGTGGTCAGTAAAAAGAAACCCCCGAGAGTTTTACATTTTTGGACTCGGGAGTTTGAACGACGAAAAATGCAAAAAAATTCTTTTTTTTCCTCTATGTGTGTGTTTGGGTAAGTGGGTGACACAATTTTGTTCACCAACTTTGAGGCTTGATAACTCCTGTGCTTTTTGTCGAAAATTTTCGAAAATTTGCAGGGAGATCTGTGTATTAGAGAGATGATGCTATTAAATTTTGGTGCTTAAAGGTCGACGGGGTGGAGAGATAGAGGGGTCGTGTATTATATCTCGAGTAGGGCCGGACTTAATGACAATTATAGGCATTACTAGCATTTACAACTTTTTTTAAAATAAAACTCATCCCTACCCTCAAAATCAAGCCTTTTGCCATTTTATAATAATTAATTATATAAAAAGTTTTTAAATAATACATCATAATAGATTGCGTTACACGAAGTTTTAAATGTTACCGGGAAAGTTAAGCAACTCGTTACTGGATTGTTTTTTTTTCTTTTTTGTAATATTACGGAAAATAACAAAACATAAACGGGTTGCTATATAATACGATATTATGTTATTGTTATGAAAATTTCAGATTGAAATCTGATTTGAATCACTTAAAATTCTTCAAAGACAATTCAAATAGGATCTACTACCCCAACTTTTTTCAGAATAATCGAACTCATCACTTATTATGAGCACAAATGAGATTGTTAGTACTGTACTGTTCTGTTAGTACAGAATAGTACCTTCATGCTCGCAAATCCGTCTTAATTTAATAAAAGTCAAAAAGATCTGATTCACACGTCAAAAGATTTAATTTTCTAGTAAATATTGAATCAGCAATATGATAATCACATAAAACGATTATGTATCATTCTCAAGAACGAGAAAAACGTAATTTTGAATTTTTAGTAGGCCTATTCACTTTGTTAAAATACTAAAAACATAAGAATTGGTGAATGTCTTTGAAGATTTATTTCTTACACTCACGTTTTCATTTTTTCTGTAAAAAACTTAAAAGAGACAAATAATGACCGAAGAAAATGAATTTATCAGATATGTCAAAGATGAAAGAAATTAGTAAGATCCTGGTACGACCAGAGATTATTGTCAGTTTTTGAAAAGTTGAAGTAAGATAAGCTATAAGAAATAAACGGGTTTATAAATACTCAATAACTCTAATAGCAACTATATTTATTTAATTTAGATGGCTAGTTGTATAAAATGTTATACACAGTATATGCAAAATGAATGCATTTCATACATGGATAACCTAAATTTATTCTTTGTCTGCTGCATACTTTAGATCAATGTTTCTCAAATTATGGGAGCCACGGCCTGTATGGGAGACGTGAGACCTCATTTGGGAGGTCGCTAAAACAACAAACTTCAATTTTTTGTTTTTTAATGCACTCAATTTAAATAAAAAATCACAATATAGGCTAACGATAATCTGTGTCTTATGAATTAAAATCAATAATTTTCTTCACATTAAAAAGTTTAAAAAACACTAATAAACAATACAGTCTCCAGGATTGTCGTGGGAAGAACATAGGTTACTTCCAAATTCATTCAATTTTATAAGCTTTAATAAAATGTTATTAAAGTTTATAAACTTTTACAGTGACATTTTATTAGAGAAAACGATACAGATAATAAAGGAAGACTGTTTTTCCTGGTGATTGATATAACGTAATGTGTAAATACATTTTAGTTTTTTTTATATACAGTAGAGCGTCGTTTATCCGAAAGTCGGTTATCCGAAAGAATTCCAGTCGGCAAATTTAAATTTTCGCTAGTGCTGTGGCGCTGCAATCTTTGGCTATATCTTGGACTACTCCAATATTTTTTTGTTGATGTGTGTTTTTTAGCTGGCAGCACTGGCACTTTTCTGTGGTGTTTTTCTCAGGACTGTGTGTCATGCTAAATCGAACGTTTTTGATACTAGATTTACTTCTAAAGTATATATATATTTTTGTTTTTATATTTTTCAATATATTTATTTTGTTTGTAAAAAATAAAGAAATAATTTTTAACGATACAATAGTCACGATTATTATTTTAAAAAGTTTACATTAGGCTTAACATAGACGAAAATTCAACGCGAAGTGACATACAACAGAGAAAAATTTCAACATGGGATAGGTTAATGTATTTTTTCGTACATAATCGGTTATCCGAAAAATAAGTTATCCGAACAACCCCAGTCCCCAATTGATTCGGATAAACGACGCTCTACTGTATTTTTAATATTGTTTTCTTTAATGGAAGCACTGAAAGAACTCAAAGGAAAATTAAAATCTCTTCTTTGAATGCTAGTACATGTACTGTATGTTACGTACAAAGGATTATCTTAATTTTCATCAAGAGAATCTGGGAACCGTCTCCTCCCATATCGTTTCCGGAAGATATCAATAATAATCTTTGTGATCTTATTAACAATAAAAATGAACAATAATATCTTTATCTTTTACGGAAATTAGTTTGTTATAATTAATACGATACTACACTGCTACTTTTAATAAGAGTAAACTACTTGAATAATGATAATAATAAGCACAAATTAAATAAATAATAGGCATAGAATCTTTCATTAAGTACCATTAGTGGCTGAGTGGATAAAACTACTGGTGGCTTCCCGCCTGACCAACGAGCTAACCACATGGAATTTTCCGGGTTTTTTCCATGTGTCTAACACTTAAATAGAACCAGTTTCCCCATAAAAAGTCCTCTCGGGAGGCTTTCTTCCTTGGCAGATCGCCCATGTGCTATATTATCCTATCCTATCAATTAATCAACCTTCATATTTATTCCTTAATTTCTGAATAAGTTATAATTGGTTTGATAAAAATTAACTTATATTGAAATACTTGTCGCTACATACAGTAATTATTCAATTATGGTAGAAAAATTCTTAACAATGCAAAAGTTTACAATTTTACTATTGTATTATGCAGTAGTTAAGTAAGCAGTTAAAATTTTTATG